AATACAATGTATCATGGAGAGTTTGGGAATACAATGTATCATGGAGACTTTGAATTCCGTGGCAACAGTCCTGAATAATGGGCAGAAGTTTAAAATCCGAGCCAGGCCATTCGAGGAGCATTAGAAAGTACTTCCTCACATGGGGCAGGGAATCTGCAACACTCTCATTCTGAGCAAAGAAATCTCTACTGATTATAATGACATCAGCCAGTGGACCTCCGAGAATGAGTTCCCTGACTGGGGGCTGTTAACCTAGTCCAATCAGGGAGCCCAGGCTGACAGATAGAAACAGGAGTGTCAGAGGCTAAATTCACTCTGAGAGCTGGCTCTGAGCAGGGAGCAGGATCAGTGTCAATGACTCTCCAGGTGTAAATAAAGGGGGACTTGCTGATGGGGTTACTGGCCTCTGTGGGGGTTTTCAAAATCCCTCCACCTTAAATGAGAGACCCCTGATTTTAAAATGCCATTTTGTAGATTCCCCCCAAAACTGGACACACCCTTTCAGCATCCATCTGCCTCACACCCCTCCCTGACCAGGCCCCTCAGGATCTGAGAAACTCCAATGAAATCACTTCCCCTTTCTGTGAAACTCCAATGGCTATTGGCCCAGGCTTTCGTCAGGACAGAATCACCTTCAGGCGTGGGATCAACTGAATAGTCCCTGCTCCGAGCTGCTTTCCCTAAAGCTGGTAAATTGGACATTTCCAGACCAGGGTTGCTACACTTGGGTTTGAATAACAGTACTTTTCCTCGGAGTTGGGGAGTCAAAAACAAGACAGCATACGTTTAAGGTGAGAGGGCAAAGATTTAAAAGGGACCTAAGGGGCAACTTTTTCATGCAAAGGGTGGAGCGTGTATGGAACGAGCTGCCAGGGGAAATGGTGGAGGCTGGTACAATTACAATATTTAAAAGGGTACATGAATAGGAAGGGTTTAGAGGGATATAGGCCAAATGCTGGCAAATGGGGCTAGATTAATTTAGGATATCTGGTCAGCACGGACGAGTTGGACCGAAGGGTCTGTTTCTGTGCTGTATATTTTTATGACTCTATAATGGGGCTTTGGGCAGAGACAGGAAAATATATGAGAGACAGATCAGTCTTGATCTAAATGAAAGTCAGAACAGACTTCCTTTAAGAGGAGATGATGGTCTAGTGATATTATCACTAAACTATTAATCTAAAACGTGGCTAATGTTCTGGGTACCTGGGTTTGAATCCCACTGCAGCAGCTGGTGAAATTTGGATTCAATGAAAAGTTCTGGAATTAAGAATATAAAGATGATCATGTGATTGTTGGGAGGAGAAACCCATGTGGTTCATGAATGTGTCCTTTAGGGAAGAAAATGGTCTGGCCTACGTGACTCCAGACCCACAGGAATGACTCTCAGTTGCCCTCTGAATTGGCTGAGCGGGAATTGTTGAGTTTCTCTTGTTTTTGTGGCAAGGCGCTCAGTTGGGTCAATTGCTCCAAAGTCTGAATAAAGCCGTCCCTAGGGGAAAGATGTGTTTACCTGCAGGGGTTCAAGAAGGCAGTTCACCACCTTGTCAAGGGGCAATTAGAAATGGGCAATAAATGCTGGCCCAGCCAAAAATGTCCACATCTCACAAGTGAATAAAAATAAAGCTTTGGAATTTGAATGGCTTCCTCCTGTTCCTGTGGAGCACTCTCAAGGGGCTGAATGGCCTCTTCCTGTTCCCATGTAATAGGCTTAAAGGGTTGAATGGTCTTTTCCTTCCCAAGAGCTCAAGTGTAGGAACTGCCCTGATCTTTACTTTATTCTTTGGTGCTGAGGTCAGTGGAAGAGTCTCAAAACAGGGGAGCTGAATGGGGAGAAGGGGAATTTAATCTGCAGCCACCCTCCAGGGGGAGCACTGCCTGAGAATCAGCCCAGGACATGGTTTGCTCAGTGTTTCAGGGTGATCAGGTATTTACAGAGACAACAAGGTGCAGGGCTGGATGAACACAGCAGGCCAAGCAGCATCATAGGAGCAGAAAGGCTGACGTTTCGGGCCTAGACCCTTCATCAGAAATTGAATCACCGATAATCCTGTTCCAAGCCAGTGGGAGGAGTGAACATGCAGCATAAAGAAGGAGGGAGATGGTCACTGTGTACAACACTTTTAATTATCCAATACATTTCACAGGATCAGGAAGGCACAGAGGCTGAGAGACCAACAAAACAGATATTTACATTCATGAGGAACCCAAACTGGCAAACACCAATGTTCAGCACATGCTGAGCTTAAACTCTGCTCTGAAATGGGGACACACACATCTTTTTGTGGAGACATCCCTGGGGTGACAATGTTATCAATGGCAGAGCGCGAGGACGAGGTGGATGGGAGGGGATTGGGGAAATGGCGAGAGGCTGGGGATTGAGGGACATGGCGAGAGGGTGGGGATTGAGGGACATGGCGAGAGGGTGGGGATTGAGGGACATGGGGAGAGGGTGGGGACTGAGGGAGATGGGGAGAGGGTGGGGATTGAGGGAGATGGGGAGAGGGTGGGTACTGAGGGAGATGGGGAGAGGGTGGGGATTGAGGGAGATGGGGAGAAGGTGGGCACTGAGGGATATGGGAA